CATTTTGATTTCACATTTGCAATCACATGCTAAGAGAAGGTGTGTGGAAGGGGAGCCTCCCTGGACTGCGTGGCTGGGTTTAGGGGACTTAGGGGGCTGGGGTCAGGGGTGGGGTCTGAGTCCCCCTGGCTGGGTCGCTGGAGATGCATGGGGGGACCCTCCACCTGTGACCTGTGTCTCCAGAGGGCCACTGTGGCTGGGCAGGAGTGTAGGATAGGGATGGGGATGGGGGGAGTCTCTTACTTGACACCGTCAACTTGATTTCTCTCTCTAAAAAAGTAAAAGGCAAAGAGAAAAGTAACACGTGTCAGCAAAGACAACTTTGGTCCTTAAAGATTCTTAGGAAAGGACGTTCAGGGAGCAGACAGGGTCGTGATCTGAGACCGTTCCCCTCTGCCCCCACCCCTGCCAGGGAAGCAGAGTTCCAGGAGGCTCCAGGCAGTCCCCACTCTTCCCTGCTTCTGTGTCCCCATCTGCAAAATGGAGAGCACAGGTGGTAGCAGTGGGGAACAGGGGACAGAAAGATCTCTGAGATCCCAGCCCAGAGAGGTCTCAAGGGTTTCTAGTTGGGTGTTAAGTTTTTTGCATCTCTGATGGGGGCACGGTGAGGTTCTGGGGCCTGAGAGAGGAACTGGGAGTGTGGACAGGTACCTCCTTATTTTATGTAAATCTTTTGAGGACAGAGAGCAAGAACAGCAGGTCCCTCGTCCTCCCCTCTGTCTCCACATCTCCCTTTCTCCGTGTATCTCACTGTCTGTTCCTATCAGGGCATGATCTCACTCTCTCTGTGTCTCTGGTCTCTGTCTCTATCCCTCTTGGGGGTGGGGGGCCTCTGGCACTGTCTGAGGCATCCCTCAGTGTCACACACCCCATCCCCACCCTGCCACAGGCCAACCCTACTTTATTTTTCCCTGATCCATGTAAATCTGCTGCCAGCTCCTTGCATGAAGCAAGGTTCAAGACCCCACCAGGGCTCAGGACCCTGGGCACCCCCGGTGAACTGGTGCAAGCTCAAAGGTGACATCCAAGGCTGGCCTCTGGGGCCACCTGCCGGGTGGCTTTGGAGAAGGCCCTGCTTATCTCTGGGCCTTGTTGCACCAACACAGAAACATCCTGATTTCAAAATGCCTCCAGTCCCCGATGCCTCTCCTGTCTCCTCCTCGTCCCTTCTCTCTCCACTCTGTGTCCTGTGGCTCAGCCTCAGTCTGGCTCGAACACCTCCTGTGTGCCCAGGTCTGAGTGAGAAAGAGAGGCTGGTATGGACCGACATGGTGTCACACAAACACCCCTACCCCAAACCCATAACTCAACTAGGCACATGCTCCTTGCCATCTCCCTGTGCCCAGCCAGTGCTGGGTAAAGTTGGGGCTCCTGAAAGGCCTCAGTCCCTAGTGTGGGAGAAACAGAGCTGGACACAGACACTCCCAATCCCATGGCATCAGGGCTAGACCGGAGGAGGGGAACGGCTGGGGAAGTCCTGACGGGGAGGTGGGAGGGTTTTCTACAGAGGGGGATTTTTGTGATGAGTTTTGAAGGATGAGTAGGAGTTCTCTGGGGAATGAAGTGGGAGGAAATTTCAAAAACAGTTCTAGCCCAGGTGTCAGAAAAATTCACTCACCAAATACTCCCTGAAGCTCCCTCCACTGGCTGGGCCAGTGCTGGGGAACCCTACACACACACACACACACACACACACACACACACACACACACACACACACACAGACACACACACGACTGGACTGCAAAACTCCTAAGAAATCTTTTGGGAAATATCTTGATTCTGTCAGGCAGCTCAGCTCCCCCTTTTCCTGCCAACCATCCAAAAATCTTTCTGGGCCCACCCAGGTCACAGATCACCTTTCCTTTGGGCATTGCTGGAGTTCTCATCCATCCTACCCTCTCCCCCAGCCTTGGCATGGTCCAGATTTCAAATCTGCCCCTCAGTCTGTGTGATGGAGACTCTAAACTCCACCTTGGCCCATACTGGGACCCCCAATTCTGTATGAGAACAAACCTTTGATTTAGAAACTTGTACCTGAACCTGCCTGAATCTAGGTGACACATAGCATGTTCAAGCAAATTTGAGAAGGGTGCCACTTCTTCTAGATGCTGGCCATTCATGTGTCAGGAAACCATCACCATAAACATGTAGCACTCAATGTCTAGGACTTGCAGGTGGCATCCTTAGAGGTGCCAAACCCTTGGTCAGTGCACAACTGGGACAACTGTACCCAGCAACCCTGGGTCCCATCTTTTTAATATAGCCTCCAAAATCTTTCCAAGAATCAATTTCAGTGTCCCCAAAGCACCCCCCCACCCCCATTGGTCCACTCTCCTCAAGGCATCTTTTGAAACCTAGAATCCAGCTTTCTCCAGCTTAAAAACCTCCTGGGACCCCCCACTTGTCTTAGAATAAAAGCAAAATTCCTCCCGGCAGCATACAAGGCCCTGCCTGGTCTAATACTTCTGCAGATCTCCCTGACCCCATCGCGCAGCTCCAGCCACACCCACCTTTTCGCTGGGCTTCCAGTGCGCCCTCCTCCCTGGCTTTGGCATCTCCTGTTACCTCTGCCTGGAGTTCTTTTATTTCTAGTGGGTGTTTTCTTCTAATTTTTCACCTCAGAAAACCTCCCCCTCTGACGTAGTTCCCACCCCTCCAGGAGCCCAGCTACTCATCTCGCTTCCCTGTTTTAATTTCTCCCTAGCACAGCACAATCCTTTACTTCACAATCCGGCAGGAAAAAAAAAAAAGAAAAAGAAAAAACAAACAAACAAAAAACCGTGCCATATGTGCACGGGTCCAACGTGGAAAAGCAGATCCTGGGGCAAGGACGGGCCATGCCAAACTTTCCCAAAAGGTCCCGGCTGCACGAGCTAGCTCTCCAGCTAGGTTACCCCAACACTGCTCACTGGAGGAAGAGCTTCAGGCAGGCAGAGGGTCTACTTGGGGATATCCTGTGGCCTGGGTGTTTGAATGAATGAATATCTGGAGACTAAGCTCCAAGCACGTTTGTGTAATCACACGCCCGCGCGCACACACACACACACCCCTAGAGTTCCTGGTCTCTTTCTGTTCTTTCCTGCCTGTTGGATTCTGGGAAAGGAAGATGAGTTGGGGGAGCCTGGGTCTAGGGGAATCCCCAGTCCTCACTCTTTTTTGGTGGGAGATCAAGAGTTCTCAGGGCATTACCCCCTGGAGCCCCAGGAGAAAAGGCTAAGGGCAGGGGTCTTGCTTGGCAGCCAGAAGAGGGAGGGCACAATGAAGGACTTGGCCCAGAACCCCCACCCTTTGTAAGAATTGGGGAGGTCCCCTGAAGGGGGTTTAGCAGCAATGGGGAACTGTGTCGGGTTATCCGATCTCAGCCCACCCTTCCACGGGGCACACAGGCCTAAGGGAGTGGGGAGAGGGCATGGCACTGGGAACCTCAGCCCAATTTCAAACAGCTCGCTGGGTTTGGTTTCGCCATCTGTTAAATGGGTGTGTTGAACATTATCATATGAGGACTGGTTTGCTGGAGGAAAAGGGGAAGCAAACTTCCGTAGGGAAGCTGGGGCAGCGCGATTGCCCCAGAGCCATCCCCTTGGCTCCCAGGGTTTGGGCGCCCGAAGGCGCATGTGCTTTTGAAATCCCATCCTCCCCCCTCCCCCCATTTTTATTTTATTTTTTTTGCACAAACTTCAAAAGGGACTCTGGTCCTCCGGAGTCCCCCAATCTGGCATCCTGGTCCCTCCAGCCCCCGGAAAACCCTAGGGGGCACTCCAGGAAGCCCTACCACTTGCCCAGGGCCCGCCCCTTGAAGGAGCTGGGAGTTCCATACTTGGCAATTAGTCTTGGGCCCCAGGGGTTTGGGACCCGTCTTATGGCTTTTCCAGGGGACAGGAGGCGGGACCTCCCGGTACCAGAGCCCCGGGATGTGTCCTCCTCCGTAGGGGCGGGCTCCCATCCCAGCTCAAAAGGGCTCCTAGACGATGGAGCATGGCCTCGAGTTCGGGATGTGGCTGCATCCTCCTCGCGCCTTGGGGCGTGGCCTCCCGAGAGGGCGGGGCGTCGTCCAATCGCAATTCCCCAGAGGCGGGTAGCTAAGTCCAGGGCTCCAGGGCGCAGGCGCAGCCCGCCCCCGGCACAGAGCCCAGCGCACAAGCCCCGCCCCGCGAGCTCCGCGC